CTTTTCAAATTTTTATTGTTTAATAATTTAATTGTGATACTTAAAAGTAAGAAAAAAAATAAATATTCAAGAAGAAGTTATTCAAGAGATCAATATAAAAGCCATTCAAGAGATTACAATAAAAGAAATCTTTTAAATAATCAATAAAGAAGTCTTTCAAGAAATTATTAACAAAAAAATAAAAGCCAGTTATAATCATCTTATTATAAAAATAATAGTAAACTTTCTGATAAATATATATATAAAATGAAAAATCAAAAAATTATTTTTTAATAAAATATTTGTCTACTATTCATTTTTTTAACATATAATAGTCGTTAAAAGCTTTTATTTTATAAATCTGAGTATGAAGGATTATTTGAAGAACTTATAGATAATGATTTTATTATTTTTATATTAAACTAAATATTGATCAACATAATGCTTATTTTTTCTAATTGTAAAGGAAAAAAGTAGAAAACTTGATCCAAAAGATTATATATCAATATCAGAAAACAATAATAGGAAATTAGATGCTCCTTTTTCTGTTGATAATTTAAAGCAAGGCTAATGAGTTTCAACAAGTTATGGGATACTTAAACAAAACAAGAAATTTAACTTTAAAGAATTAACTAAAACTCTATCTAAATCATATTATAACATTAGCATATAGATAATGATATTGAAAATAATCTAAGCCACCAATATTAAAATAGTAATTTTAATAAAAACAGATGTTTATTCAAAGAATTTAAAGTATCTCAGAATGTATATTCTATTAAAAAATAGTATAAATATTCCTGATCTTTTATATCAAAATTGAGGAATAGTTCTGAGAATACTCTGATTGAGAAATAAAAAAGAAAAAATTCTTACATTCAACTGATATGCTGGAGTATTTATATGATGCTTTAAGGATAAGTAGTATTTTATTTGTTTCATTTGTCCTATATATTACTAATAAAAATTAATATATCTAGAGATAAGTAACTCATATAATTGATAGAATACTAGTAGAAAACAAATTAGAGTTAAACAAAACTTTTGAACATCAAGTTAATCAAGTGATTATTCTAACCACTATAATATTTTAGATCAAGATACCTTTCTGATTCTGAAAAATATAGTATATAATATTATACATAAATTATACTGACATAGGTATGAGAAATATTTGATAAAATTACGATTTGAAACAGAACAAGAAGCACAAAAGCAAAAAAACATCAAATTTGTTACCAAAGTGAGATATTTGATAATTTAAATTATACAAAAATTTACTATTATTAATTTTTAACTGAAATTTTACTATAGAAGAGAAAACAGAGAATTAAAATGATTAAAAGACTACAAAATATGAATGATCAATTAGTTATGAAGTTTTCTAATATAAACTTTATTCTTTTAAACAGATAATCATTATTATTCTCTAGAACAAAATTAATCAGTCTAATCCTTTAGAAAATAAGATTATTATAACTTGAGATTTAAGATGACATTCAGATTCTGTGAATAAATTCTTGTTAATTATCTAATATTTATTAATAAGATATACACTAATCTTTTTTTTTAGTATTATAAGTTTTTACGTGATTATATTAATAAGATATTTTATGAAATAACTAAAGTACTATAATATAAAATTAGATTTATAATAGATCATATGTATAAAATGAAGATAGTATACTTTTAAATACATCTAAATAGATTCTTTTTGGCTATAAGGAATTCTGTTCATATCAAAAGATCTAAAACTCTTCTTTCATTAAGTAACTAATGCAATAAGATATAACAAATTGAGAAAGTTAAGTAAACACAGAAAAATAATCAATTTTTTTTTAATTTGCAAATATATTTATTTATATATATGTATTAATTATAAAATTACACGTCTCTATTAAAAAATATAATAATTAATTAATTGTGATAGCTTATATACTATATCTATTAAATTAAACTAATAAATAAAACTAACTTAAATCTGATTAAACATTAATAAATAAATATTAATTAATATATATTGTATAATATGATTATATCTGATTTATTCAATAATTATTTATTTTATTAAATATGATAAATTTATATATTCTAATATATATTAAATTATTTCATTAATCATGCAGTATAAGAAAAAAATATATATTAGATTTAAATAAGTCATCTCAGTTTATATGTAATTTAAATTTAAAACTATATTCTAATTGATAATTTAATATATAGGAGGGTTTCTAGAAAAATCAGGTTCTGAGAATTTTTGACTTAAATTAAGAGCTTAATACATTTTAATCTAATAACATCAAAAACTAAAATGCAATAAAATCTCAATTTTGTTAAAAAATTTTCAGAACCTGATTTTCCTAGTAATTAACCCATATACTAATTCCTACTAAAAACTAACATTAATCAAAATATTAAATATACTTAAATAAATACAAATCGAATACAAATTTAGCAATTATCAGAATAATAATTAATGCTAAATTTATATATGATTTGTCTTTGTTTGACTAGTGTTTGTTACTATTAAATTTAAATAATATGCAAAATTGAACTTAAAACAATTAATTTTATATTATATCATAATTTTTTATGAGATTATTATTACATTCTAATGGTTAAATTGGTAAATAAAGCTAGTTAAAATTCTTTAAGTCAGTTTTCATATTATTTAAAAATATTTGCATTTCATTAAATTTTATAGATTATCTATATATTCTCTTTTATATAATTAATACTAATTATAACTATTTCTTCCTTTTTTTCATTCTTTATTAAGGGATTTTCTATATAATACATATAATAAATATTACACATTATAATATCTTTCTTTTATAATTCTCTTTCTAAATCTATAGTTCTAATTTATTAAATGAAATTTAATTGAATTACAAAGAAATTCAATTGATATTTATTTTTTTTAGTGTAAAAAACTTTAAAATTTGCTAAATTGTTTATATTATATTTTTTATATTACAATATTGTAATATAATATCTCTAAAAGTACTTTAAATCATAAAATTTTTTGAATAAATTGTATAATATAAGTTCTTGAAATAATATCATTATTTATTTTTTCTAATAATTTGAAAATAAAACAATATTTTTAACTATAAATATTGTTTTAGCTTATTGTATACATATGTTTACTAATTATGCAGTAATATGATATAATATGAATATTTTATTTAAAATTACTAATATTATTTATGATTAATTGCAAAAACAAATTCTTAATTATTTAATCAAATTAGTTTGATTTCATTTATATAGTCTTGTTTATTTTTTATATTTATATTTACTGTATTTCTGGAATTTATTTCATTATATGATTTTAATTTTACATATACAATAGAAAAAGGAGAGACAACCAGAAAAATTCAATTTTATTTTTATATGCTAAATATGATATTTAAATCAAAATATGTTTAGATTTAGCATAAATCAATTTTATTTTTTTTAGCTGTTTTTTTTTCTTTTCTATTGCACAAGTTTCATATAATCAAAATTTTTCTTAGCATTTATTTTTGAAAACTAAAATTTTATCATATGATTTTATTTTTTCTTACATAAATTAATGTATTTTTTATATAACAGAAAATTCTTTCTTTACTTTTCTAGTACAAATTATATGATCTTATTTACAAATAGAATAATCTATAACACATAATGATATTCATCAGTTTTAATATAATCTTGACTTTTTGATAAATATTTTATTACAGATTTTTCAAATACAATATAAAGTTTCTATCAAAAAAAATAATCAAAGATTAATAAACTATATAGATATAATTAAAGTAAATAAGATACTTTACTTTTATATGTAGTAAAAATATTATAAATTTCTCTATAGCTGATAAATAATAAATTGATATAGGTAGTTTAACCTTTTGTAATAAACCTAAATGTTAAATACCTTTTATATCTCCAGTCCAATTCATATATATAGTGATATGTATTTTATGCTTTCAATTGTATAAAATTTAATTGGAAGTTTTTAATCCAAATAAATTTATTAAAGAATTTGCTTTAAATCCTTTTAAAAGTGCTTTTAAGAATACTTTCAATCTTTCAAGTGTACATCATTGATTATGAGGATTCTTTGCCAATACCTAACATAAGAACAGAGAATAAGTTGATATGTCAAATAAAAGATAATACTACAAATTTACTAACCTCAATAATTTTGTCTATTAATTTATAAATGGTTTATCTTGTTCAAATTCTAAATCACTTAAATTTACATTACTTTTAAAATTTTTAATCATCTCATTCCATTATATCTGTAAACTAAAATTTATTAAATAAAAATAAACAAAATATTTATTTTTAAAATTTTGTTTTATTTATTATTTTTTTATTTTTTTTTGAGCAAAAAATTATTTTTTTCTATATTTTAAAAGAAAATAAATATTATATTATTATATTTAATAAGTAAATACGATTAGTTATTATAATTTTATTTATAGAAATAAGTTTTATTAATTCTTTCTTTATATTAGATTCTTTTTTTAAAATTATTAATGTTATTTATACTAAAAAACAAAATTGTGATAGATTTTTATTGAATCTTTACTATTGTAGTTTTATAATTATTTGTTTATTTGATTATCAAATAAAAAGTAAATTTGGATATGTAGAAGTATCAAATAGTTGATTATATAAATCATAATAATTTTATTAAATTTATAGAAATATATAATATTACTATAATAGTTATCAAAAATTTTTAGAAAAGTTGTACTCTTCTAGAATTTATGAAAAAGAATTTGCAGAATCAACAGAATTCTATTAAGCACCTTTTAAATCTAAACAAGATATATTTAATTAAGACAATGGATTTTCATTATAAATACAAATATAAACCACTTTTTGATATCACAAATTCGATATAAATTGGTTTAATCAGTTTTTAAATAAATAGATGAATTATAAATTTATTTAAGAACAAGCTAAAGAAACAATAATTTAATATCAACAATTTCTCAAGATGAGCTATTATAAAACGTCTTTATTTCCTAAGGCTCCTTTTTATTAGTATTAATTCCATTTGTAAATCCAACTAATTCATGATCATCATCTGTAGACTTATAATTTGTGTTTATAAGAGGTTTTGTTGATTCTGGCCTTTCTTCGATTTCATCATCTGTACTATCATAATAATGAATATTTACATTACCAGCATATTGATCACTTTTTGATTTACTTTTATCTATAGTATTATTTGTGTTGTTAATATCATCATTTTTATTTTTTCCTTTATTATGAGTATTATTATTGTGAAGATTTTTAATTGCTGCATGTTTAATATCATTTGTCGTTGAAGTTATCGGAAATGCTGATCTATTACGATTACTACGTTTTGAAAGGAATGAATAATATAATCTAGGTCGTATTTGACGCGGTGGGCGGCGTACAACTTTGATTTTATTACGTACTGTCGATGAATATAAAATTATATTTGAATTTACTTCAGCCGTTTTTTTTTAAAAAAAAAAAATTTAGAAAAAAAGTGAATAAATTACCGTCTACATAAACATCCGTCTCATCGATAATTTCCTCTCCAATTAATTCTTCAATAACATCTTCAAGTGTTACAACACCAAGTGCACCACCTTCATTACCACCTGGATCTTCCGAGACAAGTGCCATATGACCTATAATCGAAAAAACATAAATATAAATTATTCTAAAATATCCAAAAAATTGTCTCTTATCAACTTACTTCTGCCTTCTTGGAAAAATTTCAAAATGTCTAAACTACTAGTATATGGATTAGTTTCAGGTAATGAACTTAGTTGAAAATCTCTGACCGACCAAGCATCTTCAGGGTCATAAGTAATCAATTTTTTAACAAGAAGCATGCCTATGAAATTAGTTGGATTAGGTGGTTCATATACAGGAATTCGAGAATAACCTCGCGAAAGAATCTGTGATAAGTAAAGTTATATCAGTATATGGAAACTAAGCCTTAATAAAGCATAAAACGAGAAAAAAATTAACACCTCATCTACAGCTTGTTCGTTCAAAACTTTATCCGCGCTTAATGTAAAAACATCTTCAAGAGGTGTCATTATTGCTGATACAGGTTTTTCACGAAGATCCAATACTGCACCAATAATTTGAACTTCGTCTTCATTTAAACTTTCAATTCCTCCATTTTTATGTAAAGATACAAAAGTTTTTAATTCTTAATAATGATGAATAGTTAATAACATAAATAATAAATTTGTGTATAAAAGAAACGAAAAATATTTAGTAAATGATCTTATTTTGTGTCCTTCAAACAGTTCATCATATTAAATTCATACCTGACTTCCGATACATAGTGCCATGTTGCTCGCCAAGACAAAAGTCCAAGATACCAGCAATAGGATACGCTACTGGGAACAAAACATACATCAAAAATAAGACGAACCTAAATTTTTTTTTAACTTATTAATTAGTGATGTTAATATTGAGATATTTTTAATATTTTAAATATAATTACCACGAAAAATCGGCCCCAATTGCTAATCCATGACGCACGCATATAGCTATTATTAAAAAGAGAATACTTTTTTTTTTTAAAAAAAAAAAAAAAACAAATAATAGTAACAATAATAGAAGAAAATAAAATAATCACCTTGTGGGATAATTCTGTTATTTAAATTTAAATAGCCCCCAGGTAAAACAAAATTAATGATAAAAATTTAATATATTATTTACAATAAAATTTTCACATAATCATACATACTCTCCGAACATAACAATCAGTGCAGTAGAAATCAACACGGCAGGCCATCCGCCACCAAATACAGAATCAAAGATGATCGGCAAAGTTTCATTGACAATAACATTTGAAAGCAATAAAGTAACCAACACCCAATGCTTTCCTTTTTGTAAAAGGTCCAATACTTTTTTAGCGTGTCTTCTTTCATTATGCTCCCCTGCTACCATCAATACTTGTAAATTAGTCTCATCCAAACCCATAAGTCCAATTGTAAGACCTTTGAAGATCAATGATATTTTAGAACTATTGACACTAGGAGAAGAAGTTAATAACTGTGATGTACAAGCCAAACTTACCAGCGAAGATTCCACCTAATAGCACCAACATTACAATTGCTCCTAATTTCCACCCAAAATCTTCCAAATTTATACTCTCGTTATCATCATCAATTGGTACATTTGGTATACTTGGTAAATCAAATAATGAACCTGTTCCATATTTTTTATTTTTAATCGATATCGAAAAAACATCAGTTGTTGGAAGACCGTGTAATGAATGAAGAATAGAGGCAAATATTGTGATACTATGAAGGAACCTATATGATACTCTAAACCTCAAACCTCTGAGCATTGAAATTTTAAGAAAATAGTGAATACAAGGAAAAAAAAAAAAAATAGATATTATTTTCAGTATTTCGAAATGTTTATTTACGATATTTTCACATTAACGCGTTAAAACAGCATTGATCTTTTATAATCTCAAACAAAATATAAAAAGAAACGGAATGAAAACAAATCGAACACTAATTATAATATATATTTTTTAACGAATTGAAAATTCAACTTTGCGCCTTATACTTTTTGGTGTAGTACACTTGAACGCCTTTGGTTCGGTAAAACTATAGAGCTCACGTGCAGTTGAATTAAAAATATGGAAAAATTTATTTAGATTGACATTCATGTGATTGACTGTTAGTTTAGGAAACGCCGCAAGTATATCAGGGTATTTTCTGCGGTGTTAATTCTGTGCTTTTTTTAAAAAAAAAGTTTCAGGAAATTATGAAAAAATATTGCATTTAAAATACGTCAATAGGGTGTCCAGAAATATGTGGTGGTAAATCTCAAAATATGTATGTGCTAATAAATAAAATATGCGATAATATGTGTTCATAATTCTGGTAAAAATTATGTTAAATTTTTAAATTTTAGGTA